CTTAAATACGAAATGCCAGTTCTCCATGATTTATAAGTATAGTAGAATAGAGCCCTTTGTGCAGTTTTTTTCCCTTTGTTATTTTTCTATTACATTCCTTCTCTCTCCACCAAAAAAGAAACCTAGTAGAAGTTGTAACATTACCATCTAGCCATTCATTTTGCCTTTTTTTTTTTTTTTTTAATCTTTAAATTTTAGCCTAGAGGAAGCTCTTCAGGTTCTCTAAACATCTTAAGTAAAAAGTAAACTCAGGTGAGACTGAAGGGGAAATTTCAGAAAATGATTATACGTGTATGTATCATGGATAATTAATAGATATGCACAATTTCCTTCAAACCAAATGCTTAATGAGGCAATTCATATAATTCCAAGAAAACGGGCAAGATTTTAAACACCTAAGCCTAGCTAAGACAAAGAACTACCAATTCTTATGTTGCTGGAGCTTCAAGCAGGTTTCTTAATTGAAGAACAGAAAATGCCCATACATGTATGTACATCTATTCAGAGCCTGAAGGAGAACAGTGGCTTCACCAGTGGAAAGGTTGGGGATTTGAGAGTGGTGGAGAGGGAAGGAGTCAAGCAGAAATGCCAGGAAGAACCAGGCAAAGACATTTGGCGCCAGACACATCCACTCAGTTTCTACAGACAGTGCCCATGGTGTTTCATCTTGGCCTGTTCTGATGTGAATGTTATCTTTTGTGTCTGGATAACTCTTCAGCTTCTTAAAGTATATGGAAAGATACTCTGTCACCTCCCCACATGCACACACTTTTTAAATCTATTTTTATTCTCTTGCTGAAGTTTTAATTATAACAAGAATTTCCCATCTCTCACTGCCTTCTTAGTACATTCCTTTGAGCCTTTGAACCATATAAATTTGCCAAAGCCATTTTACGGACTTACATTAAGAAAATGACACTATCAATGTCTAGCTTGACCCATTAGTTGGGTCTGCATTGAATCTGTAAAAATATTTCTCTGGAACGTGCAGGTATTTTTATTAAAAAACTCATTAGTTTTTTCCTTTTCCTATCAAAATCATACCATTTTGAATTGCTATATAAGACATGCTCTGTCGTGACGTTTGCTTAAATAGAAGTTGAGTGCTTAGTTCTTCACATGCTACAATCAGGATGTGATTAACATTTTTATGTTCCTTAAAGTACTATTGGATTTATTCAAATATGGTATGTCCTTTGCTTTTCTTTGTTAAAATCTATTCAGAAGAGATTGTAAAAGGAACAGGCTTGCTTTCTTAAGTGAAACTCGAGGGGAGAATTGGATAACATTTTCCCCTAAAGAACTGTTAAGGTTCATTTTGTGGCTTTATCTTTGCTTATGACTTAATTTTGCCCATTTCTATATTTGTTCATTTAAAACCACAAGTGTGTTACATCATTTTCTGGGGATTTTCCTTGACTAACGTCTATAGAATTATTTATTCTTTAAAAATGATCTTTGCCATCTGAAATGGTTCTCACAGTTTAGGACTCCTACGTCTGTCTTTTTAGAAGGCCACCTGTATCTTTAAATGGAAAAAAAATCAGTAGTAGTTACCTTGACTCTTATGATTTCTTCATGGTATGAAATTAGGCAAATCACTTTACTTTTCCAAGTTTCAGGAGCCACTTACCTCTCAGAAGTGTTAGGAAGTAGTTAGAGCCTCTGGTAAAAGGTGTTAAAAGACCAGCGATTATTTTATTGGTCACTTGTCTGAGCTTGGAGCTTCAAAAAAAAAAGTTCAACTATGCGGTAGTAGTAAAGTGTGCTTCAGTGCTCTTATCACAGGCATCAGTGATGGTCTGAAACACGGACTTTAGGCAGTTTATACCAAGAATGGACTTAAATGTTATTCTTGTTAGTCATGTGTATGATTTACCCGCTCAGCTGCTAGATGTCCGTGCTTTATGCTTTCTGTCTCATTTAAGAGATAGTTCACTTCTAAAAATAACATCTATAGTTGATAAATTTTTGGTCAGCCACCTTTCTGTAAAAGGCAAGGATGTTATACTTGAACCTATTTCAAGAAATGCCTTCGTATAAATCAAAGGTCTTTCTTGGTTGTGAAGAAAATATCTGAGGTCAGACACAGTTGCTGGTCATTTTGATTGGAAGGTTCCAGGTATTAGATTAGTTTTATCTTTATAAAATCATGTAATCTCATAAAGAGTCACCACATAAAAGTAATAAAGCCCCTGTACCTATACAGGGCACTTTGGAAACAAAATTTCAACTCATATGTTATAAATCTATAATAATTCATAGTCACCATCAAATGTTAGAATCATTAGGTTGAATTGCATACTTGTCCTCATTCCTACCACACATCGTGAAGAGCTTAAACATTTTTATTTGCTATTGTCTCTAATGTAGTTCTGTTGTTCTTTTTAATAACGGTATTAAGTGGGTTTAGTTTACACACATTGCACGTTATGGAAAATGAGCCCTAGTAGGATGTAGTTGTGAACCTTGTTTGATTTGCCTTAAGCCTCTGTCCAGAAACCTGCCTCTCTCTGTGGTTTCTTAAGAAGCCAGTGATGGATATTTTATTTGTTATTAGAAATACAAACGTCTCCTTGCAGACTAAGAATAGTCAAAGATACTTGTACTGCAAATGGCAGGAGGCCAAAATCCAAATTCCTTATTTTTTATAATTTACCATGGAACTTCTATGATTTACTTACTTCTGCCAGGGCAAGATTCTGCCTGAAAGGTCATTCTGATCTGGGATTCTGTCTGTAAATAGACCTAAAGAGAAGTTCAGTATTTATTCCCTGTAGGCATATGTATTTGTAAATGACAAGCATTAATGTTCATCACACTAAGTATAATTTGCAATATTGCCATTTTCAACCTTATGTTGGAGAGAGCTTTGCTCTCTCATGTTCACATTGTTTAAGTTTTGTGAGCTGCTCAGTAAGAGCTTGACAAAGGTTTAAAGGGGCCTTTGCTCCACCAGGGAGCATTTTATTTGAGTATCTCACTCTTTTCTAACAGAAAGCTATTGCAGGCCACCTCTTACTTTGAAATTCCAAAAGTATTATTTTTTATGTCTTAAATACGAAATGCCAGTTCTCCATGATTTATAAGTATAGTAGAATGATTATGCCACTGCACTCTAGCCTGGGCAACAGAGGAAGAACTTGTCTCTTAAAAAAATAAATAGGCCGGCGCAGTGGCTAAAAAATAGTCTTACCTAAGGGTCACAGAGAGTGAGATGCTATTTAGTCTAACATTTGTCCCAGTATAAGACTTGAAGTTAGATTTCAAGTATGTAAAGTAGTAGTTCCTAGAGATACCATAAATTAAAAATTAAATCGTTAAGATTTTAATATTTGTTGGTTTTCCTTTGGTATTTTTCCACTTTTATCAGGGCAAACCAATTCAATCACCATGAGTTGGAGCTTCCTGACTCGCCTGCTGGAGGAGATTCACAACCATTCAACGTTTGTGGGGAAGATCTGGCTCACTGTGTTGATTGTCTTCCGGATTGTCCTTACAGCTGTAGGAGGAGAGTCCATCTATTATGATGAACAAAGCAAATTTGTGTGCAACACAGAGCAGCCGGGCTGTGAGAATGTCTGCTATGATGCCTTTGCACCCCTCTCCCATGTGCGCTTCTGGGTTTTCCAGATCATCCTGGTGGCCACTCCTTCGGTGATGTACCTGGGCTATGCCATTCATAAGATTGCCAAAATGGAGCACGGTGAAGCAGACAAGAAGGCAGCTCGGAGCAAACCCTATGCGGTGCGTTGGAAACAGCACCGGGCTCTGGAAGAAACAGAGGAGGACCATGAAGAGGATCCCATGATGTATCCAGAAATGGAATTAGAAAGTGAAAAGGAAAATAAAGAGCAGAGCCCACCTAAACCCAAGCATGATGGCCGACGACGGATTCGGGAGGATGGGCTCATGAAAATCTATGTGCTGCAGTTGCTGGCAAGGACCGTATTTGAGGTGGGTTTTCTGATAGGGCAATATTTTCTGTATGGCTTCCAAGTCCACCCATTTTATGTGTGCAGCAGACTTCCTTGCCCTCATAAGATAGACTGCTTTATTTCTAGACCCACTGAAAAGACAATCTTCCTTCTGATAATGTATGGTGTTACGGGCCTTTGCCTATTGCTTAACATTTGGGAGATGCTTCATTTAGGGTTTGGGACCATTCGAGACTCACTAAACAGTAAAAGGAGGGAACTTGAAGATCCGGGTGCTTATAATTATCCTTTCACTTGGAATACACCATCTGCTCCCCCTGGCTATAACATTGCTGTCAAACCAGATCAAATCCAGTACACCGAATTATCTAATGCTAAGATTGCCTACAAGCAAAACAAGGCCAACATCGCCCAGGAACAACAGTATGGCAGCCATGAGGAGAACCTCCCAGCTGACCTGGAGACTCTGCAGCGGGAGATCAGAATGGCTCAGGAACGCTTAGATCTAGCAATCCAGGCCTACAGTCACCAAAACAATCCCCATGGTCCCCGGGAAAAAAAGGCCAAAGTAGGGTCCAAAGCTGGGTCCAACAAAAGCAGTGCTAGTAGCAAATTGGGGGATGGGAAGACCTCCGTCTGGATTTAATCTTGGCTGGGCTTAAAACTTAAGGTTTTCATAGTTTATGGTAAGCAACAGCTCACTGAATAATGACTTCCATTGAGTAAACATTTGGCTCTGGTTATCTTCAGGGATGCTGTTGGCTCTTGATCCAAGCTCAGGGGACTCTGAAGGCGGGGTTGGGATGAGGGTGAAAAGAAGGAAGCACGGTGTTCCTGGGCACATGTTCTCAGCAGTAATACAGTTGCAGAACTTTACATTTGTGTCTTCCAGATCTGGAAAAGAACAGATATATTTAAATCATTCTCATTGAACAGTTTTTGTATGTACAGTATTATGGTACTTTTTTTTTTATTAGTATGGGAACTTTTTTTGTATTTGTACATTGGACTACTGTAGTTATACTTTTATATTAAAGGAAAGAAGTCCTTATAAGTAATGCCTATTAGGCTAGTGTTATTACTTCATTCAGCAAATTCTACCCTGCCTTTAGAGTTTTGATAGATGCTACACCTAATAAAAGTGCCTCTCATATTGCAGGAAAGATTTCAGATATGGAAGGAGACTGAGGAGGAAGTATAATTTTTCAGTCTTGGAAAGAAATCCACAGTAGGAGGTTGAGATCTTTCTTTTACATGAGAAATCTTTGAATCTCATTCATGTGATCAGAGTTGTAGTCAATTTTGAAAACCTGTTCATATTTTCAAAGGAGGTAAATGATTAACTGCAGAATTCCTTTAAATATCAAGCATTGCCAGTATATGCTTTGATGATGTGTATATAATTTAAATTCTTTCAAAGGACT